AGCTCGAAGCTAGAGGCGGGGGTACTGTCACAGTTTCCCTAAATTTACCTAATTTTTCCGCTATTTCTGCGGACATATCAAAGGGTATAGGGACTTATCCATACTTATCTGTCCGCATATGGGTACAGCTGCATATCTAAGGGGTTATCCGCTTAAATAAGCGATACATGATCTTGTTCTGGACACATCAGGCTGGACTCTGATGCCGGACCTTTTCTAGATAGAAACCAGACTCCTTCTGGACCATGACATCATTCTGACATCATAGGTAGGAGCTAGGCTCAGGCACTAGGCCATAGGCCAGTCAATTCTGGACCCTAGGCCCAGGGCAGGGCAGGGCCAGACTATGACATTATATATGACATCATCGAGCACATGATACTTAGTAATCCTTACCCAGCTAGGTACCAGGGGTCCATTACCGGTCCCTGGGGGGTTTTTCCTCATGTATATAAGGCAGCATCCTGGGGCACCCTGTCCCCCAGTTCTATTCACTTCGTTGTTGCGCTTAACAGCATTACCTCCCCCACACTTAAGTGCTTTATCTCCCCCCCTTACCATCAAGCTATAAGGTGGGTTTTGTTGGAACAACGGTGCGAACGGTGCGGGGGCGCGTTTGTCCACAGGCGTAGCGATGCCTGTCAGGGACAATCGCGTGCGGTATGTACATCGCGCAGGGTCGTTATATACTACGATAGGGGCCTCGGGCCCCTGGCTACTCGCGCGCCCGAGCTTGCGAGCTCGTTCCTGATCGCGCGGGTCAGCGCGTTTCAACACACTCCCTCGAGCGAAGCAAGCGAGGGCTTGCACACACTCCCTGCTTCTCGGCACTCCCTCAAACTCGGCATTCATCCTCACACCCTCTCGGCGGGTCCACGATCCATCCCCATGTCCGACATCCGGGACGATCTTCATCAACTCCTCGGCATCAACTTCTCGGCTCCAACTCCTTGGCTCCAGGTTCGATCGGTGCTCTCGACGAGCGGTTCTTTGGTTCGGCGATGCTCTCGGCGAGCGGTTCAGGTGCTCTCGGCGAGCAGTTTGGGTACGGCGGTTCAACAGTGCTCTCGGCAAGCAATTCAGTGGTTCGACGGTTCGGCGGTTCGACATTCGACGGCGGGGTTCAATCGGGTCCGCGTCAGGGTTCAGCGATCGTACGGGTTCGATCAAGATGGCTTCGGCCCCATCCAGGCAAGCGGTTCGGCAGCGACGGCGGCGGGAATATTCTGCGGCGCAGCGGCGGCCAGCAGAGCATCGACAGCGACGGCATGCGCGCGGGATCCGGCGACGCAGTGAGTGGCGGGCTTCAAGCTGCCCCCAGAGCTTTGCATGGTAGTAAACCCCCAGGTGGGCTGACGCGATTGTGTTGGAACAACGGTGCGAACGGCGCGGGGGCGCGTTTGTCCACGGGCGTAGCGATGCCTGTCAGGGACAATCGCGTGCGGTACGTACATCGCGCGGGGTCGTTATATACTACGATAGGGGCCTCGGGCCCCCAGCTACTCGCGCGCCCGAGCTTGCGAGCTCGTTCCTGATCGCGCGGGTCAGCGCGTTTCAACAGGTTTATAGGTTTTGTGATAGCTCCGCTGTCCACCATTGCGACTATGTCTTTGTGCCGTCTTTCTCCCTTGAGGCATACTGGAATGTGGAAGTGTTGGGACCCCTGGTCCAATTCGTAAACATTCGTAGTAGCCATACATTGTACATGTTATTATTATGTGGCCCAACGCGTGCGGCACGAAGCGCGGACCAGATCAAAAAGACTCTTCTTTGAGCGCTCGATAGTGCTCCAACTCCTCACACATCAACTTCACCTGTGCCATTAAGTCCACCAGCTCCGATTGCTTGGACTTTGCTGAAGCGGCACTTATACTTGCCGAGGGTGAAGGGACAGGGGTGCCTGTTGCGGCCTGGGTGGAACCTGAGGCAACCATAGCCCGTGCGTTGGCGCGTTTTGTGTAAGGCTTGTCCTTACAGTTGGGGCACTCAAAATGTCAGTACCCTTGCTTCCCACAGCCAAAGCAACTGCCAGGGAAGTTTCCTTTTCCGACGGCCTATCACAAAACCTACAAACCCACCTTATAGCTTGATATTGAGGGGGGGAGATAATAGCACTTAAGTATGGGGAGGTAATGCTGTTAAGCGCAACAATGAAGTGAATAGAACTGGGGGACAGGGTGCCCCAGGATGCTGCCTTATATACATGAGGGAAAACCCCCCAGGGACCGGTAATGGACCCCTGGTACCTAGCTGGGTAAGGATTACTAAGTATCATGTGCTCGATGATGTCATATATAATGTCATAGTCTGGCCCTGCCCTGCCCTGGGCCTAGGGTCCAGAATTGACTGGCCTATGGCCTAGTGCCTGAGCCTAGCTCCTACCTATGATGTCAGAATGATGTCATGGTCCAGAAGGAGTCTGGTTTCTATCTAGAAAAGGTCCGGCATCAGAGTCCAGCCTGATGTGTCCAGAACAAGATCATGTATCGCTTATTTAAGCGGATAACCCCTTAGATATGCAGCTGTACCCATATGCGGACAGATAAGTATGGATAAGTCCCTATACCCTTTGATAT